TAAACAATTCACTCAACCGTTAAGGGAAGACAAAGACGCATAACAGTGGAACATCACAAAAACCTTCACTGCTAACCACAAACTGCTGTGCAATCACGATAATAGCCTGCGAAAGGTGAGGCAAGGATTTCCTCCACTCAGGACGACTGATGATCCAACAAGACCGACTGTGGAAGCAACAACCGCGCGGCAGATGCAATACGCTCCCACGTTTCAAAGCGTCTCGCCACCAAACCATATACCGAGCTTTGTCTGCTCATTGCCAGGACTAACGCACATCACTTTTACCGCGGGAACTCTATTGCAAAAGCTGACGTCTCTACGCAAACACAGCTCGCATGGTGTCGGCACCATTCGTCCAGAGGCACTGGAAGCAGATGCAAGCCAACTGACAGGACATGTAGCACAGTTTTTCTAGTGCCGCTTAGACCAGAACCAAGTTCCCGCCAAGTGGAAGCTTGGAATAATAACCCCGATTTACAAAGGTGGAAGCAGAACTGATCCCTCCAACTACCGCCCAGTATCCCTTCTTTCTATACTCACCAAGCTCATGGAATCCATAGTTGCTGATGCACTGGTGTGCTATCTGAAAAACTGCAACATCATCACTCCTGAGCAGCACGTTTTCCGTTGACAACGGTCATGTACAACGAATTTACCAATTGCACGCAGTAGTTGGACCGAGGCAGCTGACGCTGGAGAAAGTATTGATGTGATCTAGCTGGATTTTGCCAAGGCTTTCAATCGTCTTGTCCATCGGATACTACTATCCAAGCTGCAGCATTACGGGATCGGCGACCCCCTTCTAAGCTGTATTACCAACTTCTTACTTCAACGGCAATTAGTGGTCAGAGATCGGAGCTCTTTATCGAACCCCATACAAGTTGAGTGTCGTGTGCCGCAAGGCTCAGTGTTAGGTCCACGTTTGTTTTTGGTGTTTATTAGTGACCTTGCACACGGAATCGCTGCAAACTTCCAAATGTTTACCGACGATTTTAAGATTTGGCGCACGATCCAGGCGAACGACGACCAACATGTGCTTCAGAGTGACCTAGATGCGGTGTATCAACGGTCGACCCAAAACCTATTGCATTTCAACGTCAGTACATGCAAGGTGCTTTCCATCCGACATCAGGGCAGCTACTCATACCGGCTCGGAACGAATATATTACAACTATCAACTCTAGAAGCTGACTTGAAGGTCCTGGTTCAAGATGACTTGGGTTGCTTTAGGCAATCCGAAAAGGCCTCGAAGTCCGGGAACCAACACGTCGGGCTGTTGCGACGGGCGTTTGGACAAATAAACAGCTCCATATTTCCACAAATGCACAGTGGGTATGTTCGCCCCGATGTCCAATACGCAATTCAAGCTTGGCATCTATGGCTTGAACACGACCTTAATGCACTGGAGCAGCCACAACGCCGGGCATCTAAGAACGTAATTGGAATGCGCAATTTTTCCTACCAGGCGAGGCTGCAACGATTGGGGGTGTTCAGTGGAAGCTATCGCAGACTACGAGGCGACCTGATTATGGCATACTTGATTCTGCGAGACCCATATCATGTGTGCCGCCCTTTACTACAACTCAGCAGTAATACAAACCTGAGGGGCCACTCATTAAAACGCACAGAACAATACAGTCCTCTGGAGTGCCGCAGAAAATATTTTTCCATTCGTGTCTGTCACCTGTGGAATGCTCTCCTTGAATCGGTCGCCTCTGCACCGACACTAACAGTATTTAAAAGACGCTTGGACGATGCACTCATCAGCTTACACTTTGTCACTCAACGCTACGTGTTCATCCTACAACTGGAGTATACCATGAAATTATTTGTTGTTTACTGTGGGTGCTGTGAATATAAGGGGATTGCAGGACTACAGCGGAGCAAGCGATTAGTCCTCATTTTCTATTTTAATTATTACCTATTTTACTACCCTTATCATCACTTTTTTATATTGATATTCTTACCAACTATCCAAAGGGGCTTGTAGTTAACGCTTCTTAACCCGTATAAATTCATTTTTCATTGTTCATTTTGACCGAGACATAGACGGCAGCATATCAAACCGTTAGCCTGCATCTCTGGCTCTTCCCACATTTTGGATTTCAAGTGTGGGTGGTAAAATTTTTGACATCTACCCAAATAGGTTGTATACTTACGACATATTACAGTCTCTGTCATGATCTGTGTACATGTCTCATCTGAGTGCAATCAAATCTCAGTTATGAAAATGCGAACCCAAATTTTTGTTTCCTGACGCAACGGATGCTCTTAAATCTTTTTGAGAACGCATTCCGCTTTGTGTACATGTAGCAACGATTTCAGTTCTCCTGAGAGAATCGAACTACGTGTGGTTCGGATAAGAGGCTACGCTAATTCTTGTATCGTCGGTTACTTGCCGCCTTTTTGTGTTATTATCGGCTTGTGTCATGAATTTCGACCCGGCCACACCGTACGTATCCTTACCGATATCTCGATTTGCAACGTTCGTGCCAGACGACTACAGCATTACACAGTAATCGTTTTACTTATTTCAGGTCTGCTACTAATGTACGGCTTAAATAGGGTCGCTGCTTAAATCGCCTGCTGAGATGACACTGTAAATCAGACGACTATTTCGTTTACCGCTGTACACTTAAATTCATTTGGCAGTCATTCCCAAAGTGATTGCTAGCATTCTTCTAACCAAAGTGCTATATACGTGGTTCGAAGCAATATTGTCAGTATCCTTGAACCGCACCTTGTGGAGCATGATGATCTTAATGACATTGATAGGGAAGCAGCTACGACGACGCACATCAGTAAGATTATACAGAAAATGTGCATCTGCTTTTGGACGCGAGATTTGATTCGCATATACCATTCTCATGAAACTGTTAGACGTGGTGGAGAAAGCGGTCCTATCCACAGTAGTTACACGGTACTCTTTTAAGCTCTGCTTCGCGCCTGCGGCCGATCCACGGAACGCCGGAAAGCCAGGTGCCAAACAGGATCAGTACTGGAGACCATACTTCAAAAGCAATAAGGCTTCTACCTCTTCAACACAGATTAGCACAGTCGAACCGAGAATTCGGGTAAGGCGTGATAATCTCCAGGTTGGGAGGCTTACTCGGAATACTGAGCAGGTTGCCTAGGTTATTCAATAGGTTTAGGTCGTCCAGGTCATTTGTTCTTATGAATTAAACGTTGATTCTGGACAGTTGTTACACATTATGAATAGGGCCTCCTGATATTTATGAGTGATTTCCCAAGGACTACGTTAGTGTTGGGTTGACCTGGCGATTTGCTAAGTGCCAGTGCAGGATCACCCTTCATATTAATCTTAAGTGTAGCAACAGAACCAACAGCTGCCAATTTCGGAGTGCTTTCGGAAGCAAGTACTACCTAGCGACAACTGGTGTTTCCTTATTTCCTGGATTTCGGCGAAGGCTAGGGTGAGAAAATGGGTTTATGGAAAACCGTTGCAGACCTGCTAGTTGTAGATATTTCGGGAAAGGTTAGTTGTCCTGAAACAGTGACAAGGCGGTTTCTTAGCTTGTTTGAAGGAGTCAGTTTGCCAGTAGTACTTTCCATGTTTTACATTTGGCTTTCAGTAGAGTGCAGTGGAGAGTCATGTGTCATATCTTCTGCTATGCCTGCTCCTGCAGAAGCTAGCTTTTTTAATAATTGTGCACCTATTTCTGCCAGCGTTTTATACTTTTGGAGCAGCAAAACTACGGTTAGATTTATTAAGATGGCATCACGATTCAAGCATAACTAAAAGGGTCCGGTCTGCTTCGCTCAGCTGGATCTTGCTCGGCTTCATATTCTCGCATTTAGACTGGAAGTGGGTAAAGATATCAGAATATTATACACTACATTGACAAGCTTGTTGCGCGCTCATAAGGGGTCCTTAGCTACGGTGCATATGTCACTCGCTCCCAAGTGGTAACATGGAGATTCTATTAACTCCTGAACCCAATCCCGTTGTAAGATTCAGTTTTCGGCGATAAGGTCAGTTTGCTGGGACAGGTGGACGTCTCTCTGTCTATTGCAGCCGCACGTAGACGGCCGGATTCAAAGATAATTCATCTTGAGGTTTTGAATCGACAAATACCTACGAAAGTGTTGCTTATATTGATTGGCTTACGTTACGCGACGGAAACAAGCATAAAAGTGACAAGTAATGGAGGACAATTGTGAACAACGTTGTAGCCATCATAGATGCTTGCAAGATCGTTTAGCATTCCTCATCTTCTTCATCTGAAAGAGACCACTTGTTCCTGAACAGATCAACATGGTGGCAATCATTACAGAAGGGTAGTAGGGAGAGTTGAATGTTATATGTAGAAACCTCGTCACATCTAGGCTCACTCAGACAGCCGCCACACGCCCGAAAAAGCACTGTACGCGCGTTTCATCCTTTCGGGAATCATCAGCAGTGCGCATTCCATCAGACCCTTGGTAGGGCTCGTGGTAATCGCCCACGATTGTTTCGGCTAAGAATGTGCCAAGGTTTTGAACTGTGACCTCAATACATTCTACACATGGCATGCCAAATTGGTTGCATGCACTGGGTTGCGCCCTTCTAGCAGATACATATAAAACTGCGCACAATAACGTGTAGCCAACTTTAAAAGAATAACGTCGGTTAAAGCGAGAGCGCAAATGGTGTATGGCAATCCGGTACAGTCGCAGACAATATACCTTTTTCACTTAAGTGTTATAACTTGGATTCCCAGGTTTCGCAATATGGTTAAAAATTAACTACAAGATTTTTGATTGCTGCACCTATTAATCCTACGCAGATAACCTAATGCTACCCCTTTCTGACTTGACGAAGACAAGTAAGAATGATACTTAGAATGCAGGAGCGTTGTGCTTAACGCTTTCGAAAAGTCATTAAAATGATGGTAGATAGATTGATTACTCGTGCCTCTATGTTAATTATCCAAGTGGAGAAGCTCAGATTAGATGTGAATTGTTATACGGTAAATTGTTATTTTCACATGTAGCGAATGTCATTTTTAATAATCTTTTCTTACAGAGCAGCAGAACAGACGTGTTTTAGTAGTTTATGCTCAGAGTGTAATAAAGACCAGGTAAGTGCCCTTTTTGACGTTAGACACGGTACTAGGCCTTCTATTATGATTTGTATTTAACCTGATTACTTTACAAAAATTAATATCTATAAAGGAGTAGTATGCAGGTTGAAATAGTGCAAGTAGTAAGTTCTCAGCGTCAGACCCAGTCAGACAAGTATAAGACCCCCGGAAACATCTAAACAACCGTTTCATCATTCTGAAAATTGTTAGCAGTGTTCGTCTCATCTGACCTTTTTGGGGCTCGAAGCCGCAACTCGACTTCCGTAAATCTGTTCTTGAGACTACTGAGCTACGAGAGACGGTGACGATCGTCGTAACAAAGCTACCAAACGCGATATAGCGCTGCTTAATACCCGGCAACCTATTTCATTTAGGTCTGGGTGATGGCTGTCTGCATGTGTCTAGAGGTGAAAACTAAAACATTTAAATCCCCCTAACACTCCTTTATAATCCTTACGCAGACCAAACTGCTTAGAGTGCCTTAGGTTGTTTGGCGGTTTAAGCTTGATGGTCGAGCTGCCCTGTTCTCTTCATTGCATTTACGAGCAAGTGAGCTATGCTGTATTACATCTAGTTACTTAATCACGACAGTCCGCACCGTCCTCCGTAAAATCGGTGGTCTCAACAGTCGACAACAGTGGAGTTGCATTTTCAAGTAGCACAGGCGGTCAGGTGGAATGTGCACTGCATACTTTCTCAGAAAGATGAAGAATTTGCATAGGGTTTTTCCGGACGTGTGATTCCTGTCTGACTTGTCGTAGGCGTGATGAATGTCTACTTTTATATCGTTAGCTACAATCCTTTGTGTCATAATCCATTCGTTATCTCGTTCTTTACTTTTATCTAAACATGGAGAGTTTGTTCGAAATAAACCTGCTTCTTTCCCTTGCATTCACTGACCATAACTGAATAATTTATGTAGAAAAAACAGTCTTCGCGTAATTTAAAGCGTGAGATAAAACGACTGTGTTGTTTAAAATGTTTTATCTTCCGGCTTGTGTATTTCAACTGCAATCCATATTACTACAGGGTGGTTCTGATAAGTGTATTATAGGTTCTTGCTTGATATAGCGACAAAACACGTTGTGAGTTTCACACTAATCAAAGAGGAACACAGAACATGTGCTGGATGCACGGTAATATGAATGTTGTTAGATATATATTTCTAATTGGTTCATATCAGTTAAACCTCGGCCATAATTTATTTACAAATACGATAGCTATTGTCTTGGAGTAGTTTGTGGGCGCGTTAGCTTGGATTTACTTTGGGCGACTGATTTTTAACTGTGCTAGACGATGCATGATAGTATTTAGATTTAACCGTGAAGGGCTGCGAACTTAGTTGAGACAGCACACCTATCCCGAATAGGTGTCTATATAAATTTAGTATGTTGTAATGAAGGTAACACGAGCTACTTTTTAATCTAGGTACTCTACCCTCTCTACCAGAGATTTCACAGCACGATCCTTTGCCTAAATGCGAATCACACACACTGATTGTGGAATCGTTAAGTATACTGTGAGTACCAAAAGTTTGCTCGTAAAACAAGATGGTTGATGGAATTTCTTGTATAGTCACAAGCGGCTGTGTGTGAAGGATGAGTCTTACTGTTCTTGGGTACCAACTGTTTGCATAAATGCAGAGAGCAGTTTTAGTAATACATTAAAATCTGCCATCCATGTGCTCTCATCCTTCCAAACAACTTGCAGATAGCAATAAGGATACAACTCGGTCGTTGGCAGGTTTTGGGATCGAATATGGTAATCACACTCTCAAATATGAAATATCTGTTTATTCCGGCAAAGATGAGCCCGTTGTTTGAATTTCTATTTGCTTGTTACTCGTGGGTGGCGGAGCCCTCGGATGGTGGTGCATATGAAGCTGATGTGTATGTTTCAAACTTCCGCACCACAAGGGATGTTGACATAAACAAAGCTTTGTTGGCGGAATCAAGCAAACGGTTCTTACAGAAGGCATTTCCAGGATCACTATATGTCATTTGGGAATCCCGTAACTCTATGGTGAGTACCTCTTTAATTCCTAGGTATTACACTTCATTCACGCGGCTGCAGCAAAGTTATGCTAGTTTAATTTTAACTGCATCAACTGGATCTTACAAACCCTTGCAAGAGTGGACATGTATTCAACTTGGTGGCAAATATATAGATAATAATTCGGCGAAAATTAACTTGTAACTGCCACCTAGATTATTAGATATAAATTTGTTCATGCAAACAATAAATTCTTTGGATTGTTGTATCTTTTCATGAGAAAGAACAACAATTACCCTACTCTTGAATTGGTTTGATAAAGAATTGCTAATTCACAGCCAATAACCGAAACGGCGCTTGATAAAAACGGAAAAGAGAAGAACGCTGGTATATGCATGCATTTCTTAGTATCTCCTTAACACCATTAACAATAACCGATACGCATAGATATAGCTAACAGTGAGTGCAACCAGGCAAGCTTAAGGTGCAGAACGAATCACGGAAGTTCACACCTACGTCCAAGGCAGCTTTAGGATGACAAATAATGGTTTCTGAGCATGCAAGGCTAGCTTAATCCGGATTATAGCGACAGCCTCAGCAAACCGAAGGAAGTGGGGATTAGGGTGACGTAACACAACTTTAAACACTGAGCCCAGCTCTATCCGCTGACCCGAGTGTAATAGGTGTTTGCCCATCGAGGAAGCCGGCGGTCTGCGCGAATACGGAATCTGACGAGCGTAGGCAATTTGAACAATTTCACGTTGAACCCATCTTGGTAATTGTTTCTTTATTCGGGAAGTCAGCGTTCTATTAGTTCTGCCTATGTTTCCGCAACCACATACAAATTGGAATACACAGTGTGATTTGGACCCAATAGGCTGAGTTTCCTTCGTTGGAGGCATGAGCAAATTTCGGTTATTGTTAATGTACTGAAGAGGCAAAACGAAATGCATGTATCTACCAGCCTTCGTCTTCTTTTCGTGCTTTTCAAATTGTTGAAGGGAACTAACCGCTTTAAACTTGATAAACATTCCGAGCGTAGTGACCTAACTTAAAACGCAATAAATTCTTCAGGATCCGCAGAAAGATGCTCATTATTGTTTGCAGGCTAACTATGCTGAATAACTAAAATGTTTGCTTAAGACCAGAAATGTTGACAAAATACATGGAAAAGAATAAACCTTAACAAACAACAACTAAAGGCAATCATCTGTTTACAGACACTACTAAGAAATACTAGTTTACAGCGATTTTGTAGAATGCTTCACATAGTTCTGCGAGCTATCTGACAGCGTAGAGCTTAGATAATGGCTCTCACCGGAGCAATTTCCAGGCGATGATAAGTCCCCTTACTTGGAATACCTTTATAATCGTACATGAACTTCGAAAGTAAATTTTAGGGTATGCGTATTATATTCAGTTAACATAGTGAGGTGACGTTCTGAGTAGGTTACGTTGTTTAACCACAGTACCAAGTAACTCCACTTCATTGTGATATTAAATCTCTTGCCAAGAGCATAGCAGAGAGAAAGAAACCTTTACTTGTTAATTTCTATTCTGAGCTGTCGATTTGCGCAAATCGATACTATCGCGTTCAAAAGTCACCTGCAGGTCGATCACGAATTGACGATTCATTCAGTAAGATTGCACACCGCATCGGACTACACTGGTGATGCCACCTCGCATGGTGGTGACACGTTTGCGACAAAACCGCCAAGGTCAGAGAACAAATGAACAATTGAATCATCAGCCCGAGGTACCAGTGTTCCGAAATATTTAAAAGGGAGAAACGTGTAAACTCAAACAACGTGGAAGTAGTCGATAGTTTAAATTCTAGCATGACTGTAGAAGTAGATGCAGAGATTAAATATTTTGCTTTGTATTGTTCACATGAACAGACGCTAGCATTTGATCCAGCTTGAATGATTCAATAACTGCCTTACTAATTCCAGCGACTTTAATTTTGATATTTCAATGTTTCCGCCTATTGAAGGTAAAGTAAAATATTATTTAGGTTAACAACAATCTTTGCTTGGTAAAGACCACACAATTCCACTTGACAAACTACGACACCGTTTGTTGTGTGCACGGCGATCAGCTGAAGTATTCCTGCGGGATCAACACATGGCAACATGCTAAACTATCCCTGTTTGAAAGTAAACTTTAAAGCCAAGGTTGCAAGTGCAGTGTAGCCGTGGAATGTTTTGTCGGAGATTTTGCGACTGATATCATCGTTCGCCCACTATCGCTTCACGGTAAATATTTACGGTGTAAACTATTGTACCAAGAGCATGGTAACAATTACCTTTGGACAATTCCGGTCACCACTTAGTTTTACCGTGCAACATCATTACGTCATTTGACTCGGGTAACCTGTGACCAATCAAAGCCAACGCGTCACTAAATATTTATCATATGGTAGGCAAGATAGCGCAGTTTATTTAGCTCTTTGTTAGATGTTTCCTCCTTCGGATGGTAAGTTAGAGCCAATTTGAAGGACACTGGGTCAAATGCACGAATATGCTTTACAAACCAATGAGGTGTATATATTCACTAGCAAAACGCCACGGATAGAGATAATAAAAGAAATAAACTATCTCAATTGGATATGTCTAAAACCGGTACTTAATATATTTTACTGGTTTACGGCGATATTTCATACAATAATAAAATTCATATCCTATTAGGTCAGAGTTGTCCGGATCGTGCCCAGACTTAGCCACAATGCGGAAGTGATAAGGCAGTTCGAGAGAACGTAAACTCAGACTAAGCTAAATTTCTATTGCTCGATCTACAGTAATAATAAGATGTCATCAAACAGCAAAGTAAACATTCATCAAAGTATAGATGGGGCTCGGGGCAGCTGTAAACATGGCGATCGTTTTTCCTCAGACGCTCAGGACTTCTCGCCTGTTCCAACGGACTTTCCTGCAATTTGCAAGCAGCTTGCCTCAGACGATCAAAGTCCCGCTTTTCCCAAAACTCAATTGCATTGGATAAGTAACATAAAAACTGGTCATGACGCCTACTAGTTTATCAGAGAGATAACGTATGTGACATGTCCAGAAACGAAGATGGTTACTACATAAAATGATCAGAAATCATGACGCAATCTATGAAATAATCTTGGCAGATTCCAAGCACAACATGTATACCCTGAGGTCACGCTTCCTGCATAACTTTGAAGAGATGCGTTCATCAGTCGGAAGGATTGCATTCCTGTACGGCATAAAGAAATTATCAACTATTTTGTTATACAGGATCCTTGGCTCGCGCGAAGCACACGCTATTTCGGGAATTCCCACAAAATTCTTAACAACGCAGTTAAACTGAGAATAATTTGGCGGAGCATAACGTTTAAGACCTTACAAACATTTAACCCATCTGTTAAAATGTACCACTAAAATGATTACAGATGCTGTGTAAAAGAGAAAATGTGAGCTTCCGCAATAAAACAGGTTACCAACTTTTGATAATGTGTAATTTGAAGTAATCGTCGCGAAACCAAATCAATGATGAGAAAAGGCAGTATTTGTCCATAAATGGATAACGGCAGGTTGGGAAATCATTGTCACAACACACGTGCCATAGTTTACAGTGTCGAATAAGATGGTACGTAGATGTTCTAGCTTGATCGCATGTGCAGTGTTCTGTAATCTACATCTCTAACCTACATCAATAAGCCAATTGAACTTGGTCAGTAACGCAACTGAATTGCATCCAGTGTAAGTAACGCAAAATTTGCGCGGTGTCTTGGATTTTGAGCTAGCATCAGTCAGTCGATGAAGTTAGATGAAATAAAAGCAGGTTTTGCGCATGTCACCAGTGGGGGTTAGTACCGCGACAATCCGACACTCCATCAGTGAGCTCATGGCTAGTTTAGCACTGTGTTTGAGTCCACAATTTGCATAGCCTTGGATTTAAGACGACCAATGGACGCTCGGGATTGCAAGAGTATACGACTGCACTGTGTCCAGATAGCAAGAGAGTCACAGATGCATGACTGCGAGTGAACGAGACCTGTGGTGCAAAAATATTATCGTTTGCTTACAAGTAAGGCGACAAAAATGTTTGCGCAACGCACAAGTTTAGAGGTGGCCGCCTTGGGTAAGGAAGAGAAGTTTGCATCGATGGTCTACTGGGAAGGCTATTGCCCAAATACGACTGCGGCAATTTTGTGATAAGACGAGTAGGCACGGGTTTGTTAAAGTAGGCATCGCTTACCGCTATGGTGGATGCAGTATACCGAGGTAATGAAGTCAAATCAACTGAGGAACTGCAATGGGAGAGTCGGCATTTTTATCGGTTGATCCCTACGCACATGCACGGGTGACTGTACATCAATCGAATGGCGATTTCTACGCTAGGGACTACTGCAAACTTAACGTACGTGTGACTGCTACGCAGGTCTTTGCACATCAACTGAATTCGTATACCGTACACGTTAAGGAGGTGGGAAATATCCTAACCCTCTGGTGTTTACACACATTTGCAGGGATCCATCGTTGATTGGTAGCATTGGCTGCAGATTTCACCTCCCCTCCTCAAGCAATGGTACTTGGTCCGAAAATTTTAGCCACCTCTTTTCTAATGCATTTATTTTAACAGCAGCACATAGGTGAGGAACGCCACAACGCCTGTCTACGGCAGTTGTAACGATGAAGCTCGTAATTTAACTCCCTGTCTAACGGCCTGTGTACATGCAGTCCACAATCGCAGACACTAATACGAAGTATTTAAATGATAACAGATAACTCTTAACACGGCAAGTAGGATAGCTTACTATACGAAAAAGTCAAATGAGGAACGTACAATTCAAATAGAGTGTGGAGTGGCGATTTAATAGATATTTGTATGATAACAGGTATATATTCATTCCATTGTTGCTAATCGCTCTCCATTAACGACACGAAACAGGAAATTTGATAAAACAATTTTATCCATGAAAAGGTTTTTAAATTCCAATTACCAACTTCAGCTGACTAAAGCTTGTGGGATGTCACTGTTCGGACAATGAACCAAAGCTCGGGTTTGTAGGAGTCTAGGACTGTACAAGTACGGTGTGCCCGGTTGGGGGCTTGTGGTACCAAACTTTATGACGTGCTTGGGAGTACAGCGACGCACTGACTTATGCAAGTTGCAACTGAAATACTGGTTGGAAGGGGGCCGCTTTGGATAATAGAGAAACGTTTTGTCAGAACTCTGTATTCAGGGTTACTGCCGAACTGCACTGCACCACTAACAATTAGCGGACGACTCAGAATGCACAGGCTACATCGGTACACCTACTGCACTGAAGCGAGCGCAGTCCACTGCATAGCTCTTTGAGATGCTTGACGGTAGGCGCCAGCCTGCTAGTTCGCATTCCAAGATGGATCGGTGGCTTACATCTGACGCGTTGTCTTAGCGCATCGCACAGTGCCTATTCTAAAGCAACGCTATGTAACCCACGACATTATGTACCTTCGAGCTGCCCGCTGTAGTATTTGACCTTATGAGCATGACCACTACTTTTCTGTGCGCGGTAGACTTTGCAATAACAACCAAGTGCCATTTCTCTTCATCAACTGGCCAAGTATGTAAGAACACCAGATTCATCCTTAAATGTACTGTTGTCCTAAATATCAGCAATCATCATGACATTATCAGATTGTCGCGCAACATCGAACGAGGAAATATGCGGAAACTCTCCGCGAGGGTAATTGGACTGAACACTATCACTTATGCTTAAATGTCAAAATATTGCGTGTGCGGTGCGAAACATTGACAACACCAGTTTGATTTCTCTTCCATAATGTCAACGCAAAGATAGGCAGTTACAAAACAGTAAAATGCAGTGAACTAGCGTAATTTCTCCTAACATGATCTGTCTGGTACTGGCAGTGCAGGCACGCGGGCTCGAGCCTCGGACACAATGCGTCAAAGGAAACCCATTCTACACTTGCCCTTGCAGAGCAGTCCCTCAGGTAATCATAGAGCATGTGAAAATTCCACAGGCTCACAGCTTACTTCACATACTATTTTATAGTGCTCTTAATGTACACGCTGAATTTCAGTAATGGTAAATTTAGAGCCGGCATGCAACCACGCGTCTGGCATCGGTGTACACAGTTTGAATGCAGCAACACAAAGACGCCGACCGATGGAGTAATGTCAGCATCACACCAGTGAGAATAAAACTTTCCGCCACATATCGACAAATTGCCTGCATTACCGTTGCCTTAAAGCTTCTGAGGAGAATTATTCTTGAATTGAACCTGTCCCAGACTCGATCGAATGACCCGCTTAAATGCACTTATCGTAGTTCGAGGTGTAGACTAGATGGAGTTGTTGGCCTCGTAGGTTAAATATTGTCATCGCTTGACAAGAGAAACAGAACATTCGCAGTACTGCACATGTAGCAATTGATATATGGACCAAACGAACTTGTGCAATCGTAGACCTTTTAAGGCCGAGCGCTGGTAGGACGCCCAAAACCCTAGGCCGCGCAACATATATATTACATGCAACGTCATTTATTGTGCTAATGCGTAGGCGCCTTAACGTATCAAAATTACGTGTCGTTCATTCAAGTTCACGTAGGCGTAAAGTCATTATTTCCCTGAGGGGATACATGCATGCACTATCAGCGACGCTCTCATTAGTCATGGGATATTAGCCAGGGGTAGTTCCTGTATATGTGAGCACAGGGCTAGATGAATAACGAACAATGCATCTATACGGGTTAAGAAGCGTTGATTTACAAGTCCCGTTGGATAGTTGGTGGGGATATCAACATAACAGTAATGATGATAAGGGTAGTAAAATAGGTAATAATTGAAATAGAAAATGAGGACTAATCGCTTGCTCCGCTGCAGTCCTGCGATCCTCTTAGATTCACAACACCCACAGTTAACAACAAATAATTTCATGGTATACTCCAGTTGTAGGATGAACACGTAGTGTTAAGTGACAAAGTGTAAGTGGATGAGTGCATCGTCCAAGCGTCTTTTAAATACTGTTAGTGTCGGTGCAGAGGCGACCGATTCTAGGAGAGCACTCCACAGGTGACAGACACGAATGGAAACATATTCTCTGCGGCACTCCAGACGACTGTATTGTTCTGTGCGTTTTAATGAGTGGCCCCTCAGGTTTGTATTACTGCTGAGTTGTAGTAAAGGGCGGCACACATGATATGGGTCTCGCAGAATCAAGTATGCCATAATCAGGTCGCCTCGTAGTCTGCGATAGCTTCCACTGAACAACCCCAATCGTTGCAGCCTCGCCTGGTAGGAAAAATTGCGCATTCCAATTACGTTCTTAGATGCCCGGCGTTGTGGCTGCTCCAGTGCATTAAGGTCGTGTTCAAGCCATGGATGCCAAGCTTGAATTGCGTATTGGACATCGGGGCGAACATACCCACTGTGCATTTGTGGAAATATGGAGCTGTTAATTTGTCCAAACGCCCGTCGCAACAGCCCGACGTGTTGGTTCCCGGACTTCGAGGTCTTTTCGGATTGCCTAAAGCAACCCAAGTCATCTTGAACCAGGACCTTCAAGTCAGGTTCTAGAGTTGATTGTTGTAACATATTCGTTCCGAGCCGGTATGAGTAGCTGCCCTGATGTCGGATGGAAAGCACCTTGCATGTACTGACGTTGAAATGCAATAGGTTTTGGGTCGACCGTTGATACACCGCATCTAGGTCACTCTGAAGCACATGTTGGTCGTTGTTCGCCTGGATCCTGCGCCAAATCTTAAAATCGTCGGTAAACATTTGGA